AGTTCCTTACCCTCAGTTACTATTATAATAAGCTTATGATGTCAATTCATCATATGCCCATTTTTAGATTCTCCTCATTCAACAATGCCTTCAACATAAAGCAGATTACTCTTTCTTGCACTTTTAGGCAAAAAATGAGAAGACAGTGGGAAAAAAGACTAGGAGGAATACTTTTTTGTTTTTTTTTTAGCGCATAAGAATAAATAATACTTGAAACATGTCCAGTAATTCTTGGGAAGAGACCAATAATAATTTGCATTAGTTCATCTGTTTATTTGATCTAGAAAAGTTCCTTTTAAGAGTAGCAAATGGAATTTTAGCTCCTGAAAGACTTCGAATAAATCAGTACCTCTATCCAAGAGAATGATTGCTGCTTTGTAATGAGTGTAAGTAGTTCTAAAATGCTGTTATTTGGAATGAGGTAATTAGATGTGGTACCGTAACAGTGTTTACATTTGGCATATCTCATTCATTTTAAATTTGATGGTGATAAGAGAAATTTATCTCAAGGATTTGCTTTGTCCTTTTATCTGACCATATTTCAGGCAGTGATCATGAAATCGTAATTGGCTTCGATGTTATGTAGGTTATTCCATGGGGGGACCTAGACTCACTAGCCATGCTTCAAAGGCAGTTGGACGTAGATATCCTTGTGACAGGTCACACCCATCAGTTCACAGCCTACAAACATGAAGGAGGCGTCGTCATAAACCCAGGGTCTGCCAGCGGTGCCTTTAGCAGCATCACCTATGATGTCAACCCAAGCTTTGTCCTCATGGACATTGATGGCCTTCGAGTCGTTGTCTACGTGTATGAACTCATTGACGGGGAGGTGAAGGTTGACAAGATTGATTTCAAGAAGACAACTGCCGCTCACTCTGCTCATTGAACTCAAATTGCATGCACTGTTTATTCAGAGACTTCAGAATTCCTCAATATTTTCTGTTAGTGATGGATTGCCATTATCTTTGTATTTGTGTCAATGGTGAAAATTCTGGCTTTATAGTGATTGACCATAGGAGTGTTATTTCATGTTGCCCTTTCCAAAGATTTGATCAATTTATAATATGCTTGACCCTTACATATGACCGGGACTGTTGTTTGCTCGTATGCCAGACCCTTTTGCAGGATGCAAAACATCCTTCAAACTTAAAAATTCATTTGCGCAATATGACTTCATTTCAAAGGAGAGAGAGAGAGAGAGAGAGAGAGAGAGAGAGAGAGAGAGAGAGAGAGATTAAATTAGTGTTGCTCAACTGCTTAACAGAGGAGGACTTGAAACCATCCTTCAAACTTAAAAATTCATTTGCGCAATCACTTCATGTCAAAGGAACGAGAGAGAGAGAGAGAGAGAGAGATTAAAACAGTGTTGCTCAACTGCTTAACGGAGGAGGACTTGAAACTTAACTACTTAAAGACGGGTCCCTGTATTTTTTTGTTTTCCCAAGTCCTCTGTTAAATCATAACCCATTTCAAGACTTGAAACTCAAATCTTATGTCTCCCAAACCATCCATCGTCAAATTAAAGCATAACCCATTTCAAGATATAACTTCACTCTTGCAAAAATGCAAACACAGAGACCAACTCCATCAAATCCATGCACGTATAATTACTACAGGCCTCGTTTACAACCTTCCAATAGCAAGCAAACTTGTTTCATCTTTTGCCTTAATTGCCCTCCCCGCCACAAATTTCACTGCCCGTTTGATAGCCGACCGAGTAGATGGACTCGATACCTACACCTGGAACACCATTATCAGAGGTTATTTGGCCGGAAATCATCCAAAAGAAGCGCTTTTGTTTTATTCCCATGTGAGAAGAAATGGTCTGGAGGTGGATAGTTATACCCTGCAGTTTGCTATTAAGGCATGCCGGCTTATGCCAATAGTTCTTGAAGGGAACCAGTTACATAACCACATTTTGAAAATGGGTTTTGTCTCTGAGATCATAATTCAAACTGCCCTTCTGAATATGTATGGTGTTTTTGGTGAGCTTAGATATATGCAACAAGTATTTGATGAAACGCCTCAGAGGGACTTAATTATGTGGAATTCTATTGTTGCAGCATATGCTCAGCACAATTTCCCTTATAAGGCACTTGCAGTTGCCAGTGCCATGGCCAGTGACGGTTTGAGACTAAATGGATTAAGTGTTGTTAGCTTGCTTTCTGCTTGCTCGTCTTTGCAGGCCTTGAGGCGAGGGAAGGCAGTTCATGGCTATGCGATTAGAGGACACCTTCTTGATAATCATGATGTTTTTGTTTACAATGCTTTGGTTAGTATGTATTCAAAATGTGGGTTTTTATCAAATGCTAGCCGGGTATTCCAGATGATGCCTATAAGAAATGTGGTTTCTTGGACTTCTATGATCAATGGTTTTAGTGAGAACAATTATCTGAAGGAGGCTTTGGCTCTGTTTGAAGAGATGAACGTTAAGAATATAAGACCAGATGAGGTTACCATTTTGGGTGTTATTTCAATGTCCTCCAAGTTACAAAGCTCCAAGCTCGGGGACTGGATTGACCATTATATTGAGAGGAATGGATTTAGAACAGGGAGTATTGCCATGTCAAATGCACTGATGGATATGCATGCCAAAAGTGGGAACATCAAGAAAGCATGTCAAATTTTTGATGGGATGCCGGAGAAGTCGTTAGTGTCTTGGACTACTATAATACAAGGGCTAGCGATGCACGGCCTTGGAAGGCTAGCTCTGGCTCAGTTATCTCAGATGCAAAAAGAGGGCTTTAAGCCAGATGGGATTGTCTTCCTCAACATATTATCTGCCTGCAGCCATGCCGGTATGGTGGACGAGGGGAGAAAGTGTTTTAATTCAATGATAAATGATTTTCACATGAAACCATGGATGGAGCACTACGGTTGCATGGTTGATCTCCTATGCAGAGCTGGATTGGTAAGCGAGGCATTTGAGTTTGTTCAAAACATCCCAGATAAACCAGATACAATAATATGGCGCATGCTGCTTGGGGCATGTCAAGCCCAAGTTGATGCTAGTCTAGCGAGTCAGATTATGAACCATTTACATGACACCGGGCCTAAAAGTAGCGGAGACTATGGACTGCTGTCAAATTTGTATGCCGCCGTGGCCGAATGGGATAATGTCAAAGAGATAAGAAAGGAGATGAAAGAGAAGGGAGTTGTAAAACAAGATCCTGGTAGCAGTTCAATCGAATTGTAAATCCAATGAACGCACTATTTTGACTTCAAATCTAATAACTTTGACTTTTTTGGATGAGGTTGGTTTGTTTAGGGTTTCCGTTTTAATGTAATTTTATTAGAAAAATGAAATTACAGAATTTGAGTAGCTAAAATCAAATTTAAGATAACCCTATTCCTACATAAATCAGTAAACCTTTTTCAAGTACGACACAGACATAACGATCAAATTTAATTAACATGTTTTATCCTTAACTTCAAAGTCACTCCTATCCATAAACCAACAGGCTTTGCAATACAAATTCGAACTGAATTAGCAAAATTTACAGATAATATAAATACCAGGCATCAGCAATCAATAGCCCCCATATGAGCGTTTTCCCTTATTTCTTTCTTTGCCCTTGTAATTTTTGTCTACTTCTTCTTCGAAGATGTCAAGCTACAGAGCCTTTTCGAGTTGTGAAGTATGGCAATCAGAAAATTTCGAACCTGGGGAAGAAGATTTTCTCTACTCAAGAAAACCTGAGTTCTTGATTGAGATTTTTGCTTCCTTTACAAGGGAAGAAGATTACCCTCTAGTTCCAAGGTCTACTTTACACTTCCATAAGTTCAAGGAGCAATGTCACCTTTTAACAGAGAGCAGAACATCCTGGTCTGTGATATCCAACATGCTTACTCAGATACTGGTTCCCTATCATGTTCAGCCCTTCATGATCCACACGATTTCTACTCGTGCTCGTGAGATTGCCGGTGAGCCTGAGAACGCAAACCGAAACATCATTCCGATACTAGTGTCCCTCACAGTTGGACAAGAACCATTCTTGGAGGACCAAGACGAACCCGAAATTTCTGACCATGTGTTACAGTCGGTGCGCGCAAGAAAGTCAGCAATTGATGAGCTAGAGAAGGTGAAAGTTGAAGGCTGCGCAAAGCCTTGTGTTATATGTTTGGAAGAGATTGTAAATGGTTCTGAAGCCACTCGCATGCCTTGCTTTCATGTCTACCATGAGAGTTGCATAGGGAACTGGCTGGAGAAGAGTCACCTCTGTCCGTTGTGTAGGTTTGAGATGCCGGTCGAATTCTCATGACAATTTTATGTAATTTTTGTTTCATTGTTTTGATAGTTCTTGTGATTATAAATTCTTTGCAGAATAGTCAAGTTCTTGATGTAGAGTCAAGAATGTGTATAGAAGTTTACATTGTTGAGATATATAATATTCTTTTCTTGATTTATATTTCTTCTATTTTTTTGGGTACAAGTTGTTGGTGAAGAGTTTGGTATCAAAATTTTGCAATCTGGAGGTACCACCAGCCATCTTCGTCAGTGATGATTAATTTCTGGCTAAGTTTTTTGTACCAGCCAATTTGGTGCATGGTTGGTACAATTTTTTCCTCTTGTTGGGTTAATGACAGAAATGTCCTACCTGAATTTCTGACTTGGGCTTTGGCTTGATTACAAGAAAAAAGGATTTCTGGCACACACACTAATAAAACCAAAGACACTGATATGCAAGTGAATGCCATTTTTTACTGGGCTAGATCTCGTTGACATACGGGTTAAGTTAGTTTGGTTTGCCATTGCAAGTGAGTTGGAAGGTGGAAGAACGTAACAGAACAAAAGAAGAAAGCTTGGGGTCATTTGATAATTATATTTTCACTACACGCCAACAGACTGTGGGGTCTATTTACAAATATGAAGAATATAAAATGTCGTGTCTACCCTACCAGCTTACATACAACATTGAGGGTATTATAGACTTTTCATATGAACACTAACGGTAACCACATCCGCCGATCCAAAAATTCATTAGCCAGAGGCCGATTCGACTGCTCGAGATGTGATCGGCGGCGAGCTTGTGAGGAACTTTTTTGGGCTTTCGCAGTGGTCGCTTCTCTCGAATTGGAGCTCAAACACTTTCTTCAACCCTTATCCCATTCGAACACAACCCCACCAATCTTTCTTTGGTAAGTCTTCCAATTCTCTGATTTCCCACTTCGATTATAAGCATCTTATGGCATAGAAATGGCGAGACATTTCAAAAGATTAGAAAGAATTTGATTCTTAAATATCAGGATGGTAAAGCATTGACTTTTAGATATGGGTTTAACTTGAAATTTGAAGCAGCTGAAAACCCCCAAATTTTATTTTATTTTTCAATAGTAAAGAAACTAATTCACCCAGCGTTAGAAATGTAAGGAAAAAAGTATGTTTCTTTGTGATGAAGTTTTTGATATTGAGTGAATACATAATCGTATATGTCAATGTGGGTATTAAAATTTGTTTGATTATGAGGTTTGGACTTGTGGGAAGTTAGTAATTGAGTTTTTGATCTGTCTATATAGTTGGAGGGAGTTTCTGAGGTGAACCATTCCTAGGGAATTTGGGGAAGGAATGATGAAGACATGTATTCAGAGCCATCTATTCTTTGTGCAAGTCAGGTGTGATCACAGAGTAAAGATGTAAAATTCATGGCTAATGGTAAAGCTCAATTTTTTGGCATGTAATAATATGAATGCCATTTTTCTCTTGGCATTTACATGAATTACTTTGTAACACTGGGAAAATAGGATTGCAACACCTAATATCCAAAATTGATTCGAATAGGATTGCAACTTCTTAACATGCATTTTCCCACACTAGTTTATTGTTTTGTTTTGTTTTGTCCCAACATTGAAATATCAAACTTACTCTCTTTTGGTCGTTGGTGAATCATAAGGCAGTTAGGCCTTTGGCCTCAATATGACTTAGTTTCATTATTGTGTTGCTGTTTCCTTAATAATCTCTAGTTCTTATTTCTAGTAGAATGGTTTTGTCTCAAACTTTTCGTCTGCACTATTGTAGGTTATGTTCTATGAAGGCTTGACATATTTGACAGAGTATGGGATGCAAAAATATGTACACAATCCAAATTTCCATGTTGATAGTTCTGTTCCGGGACTATACTAGGAGGATTGGCTAGTGGTATGTACCTTGCTTATACTATGTAAGTCTTTAAAATTGAATTCAGAATTTTCTTGTAGGTTGATTTATGCTTGCTTTGTATTCTTCAGGCTTTATGACATATCTTGCAACTCCCTTGGATGTGATCAAAACAAGATTGCAAATACTGGGGTCAAAGGTATCAGCTCTGTTTTGTGGTTATTCTTAATATTATTTTCAAATGACTTTCAGTTGTCAGTGTAGACCTAAATTTGTTGCAAGCATCACATGCAGCATAATGTTCTATTAGTGTACTTAATGTTACCTGAACAAAGCTTGGCTTATTGAGTCAGCTGTTGTGCTTATGAACACTGACCTCATGGGTGCACAGACACAAACACCTTTAGAAATTTATAGTTGTTTTTCATTGAATCCTTTCCCAACATTTTCGTTAATTGTCATCACCGCATAACCAAGTTAAATCTTGGGGAAAAAATCGATGGGCTATGGTTAGAAATATACTTTGGTAAAGTTTGCGTTAACTGTTATTTCAAACTGAGGTTTCAACATGTTTGCCATGATGGGGAAGGGAAATTTTGTAGAGCAATTTCCTTTCGACCTGGTATATTTGATAGGCGTGACATTGATGTCGAAAATTCGTCTATGGTTTCTTATAAAAAAAAGTTGTCTATGGTTGAAAATTTAAACTTTGGTTCTATCACTTATTGAGTTTGACGTGATAGTCAATCAGTTTTTTATGTTCCATCTAATGTTGTGAACTTTAGGTGCAATGGCTGCTTGGATGCAGTTTGTAGCATATAAATGGTTGAAGATGCACAGGGGATGTTTTAGAGGTAGCAGTCTCAGGATCACCCAATGTTACAAGCAATGAAGGATTAGACAATGTTGCAAGCAAGAAGTTGCTAGCATGTAGTAGAGGAATGGGGATCGCATTTACAGAGGAGCGGTGTGAGGAACTTGCACTGAATACCCATCTCATCGTAGTTTGGACGTACACATTTAATATTGTTTTCATGTAATTTGTACATAAATATAAAGAGAGTGAATGAAAAGGAGGTTTTTTACGGTTTTTATTTTCTCTTCTACGCCTCCCGATTTGGTGAGGAGAAGCTTAAATTAGCCTGCGGACCTTTAGCGGCGGTTTTCTTGATCCTCAATAAAAATAGAAATAGCGACGGCTAGCGACGGTTTTTACCGCTTCTAAATACGTTTTCAATAAAAGAGGCATTTAAATCGTCAGGAAAAGTACAAAAACCGCTGCAACATATCAAAAACCGTCGCCCAAGAACAAAAGTGTCACCTATTTACTGAAAACTGTGTTTTTCTCTCTAATTTCATATAGAAGTTTGTTTTCCCCCCCTTAAATTATGGGTGGACATTCTATAAGTGACGTAGAATCTCCAATAAACATCTTTTCATGAATACAACCCAAAATTGAAATAATTGACAATCAAAATGACAATCGTAAGAGCTCTTTATTGTTATAGCTTTTAGGGTTCTAAATTTGATTTAGGTTTCCTTTGATTTTTGTTATAGGTTTTAAAATTTAGTCCTTTCATAATAATATAAGCATATGCATGAGAAGAACCACTATGGCATGATAAAATTATTTATATAATTGCATTGAATTAAGCAAACTTAGTGGGCATGTTTCTCTGCACAATCCCCAGCTATATATATAAAAGCACTACTAGAAGCAGTAAACATGAAAGATGAAAATAAATCTATAAACCATAACATGCAAAATGCTCTAGGCAGCAGTAAATCTGTAAACCATAACATGCAAATAAGTCTCTCCTGGTTTCACAACTTGTGAAGGGAAATTTGGGTGGTTCACAGCATCTGGGAACCCCTGTGTCTCCAAGCAGACTGCAGCATGTTTTTTGTATACAAATCCATCTTTTCCCTTCACATTGTCCAACTTGTTACTTGTATAGAACTGCAACCCTGGCATGTTAGTCCACAATTCCAATTTTCGGCCTGACACACTGTCACGCAACACTACTGCCTTCCTCAAATGCTTGTAACTTGAAGGGTCTAGCACATAGTTGATGTCGTACCCGTCAGGCAACTCATTTATCTTGCTGCCAATTTCTTGGGCCTCGAGGAAATCATAGGGTGTTCCTTTCACAGGGGCAATTTCACCAGTGGGAATGAGTTGGTCATTAACGGGTGTGATGTTGGACCCGAAAAGCTGGAGATGGTGCGAGAGGATGTCACCACTGTTGTGGCCACGGAGATTCCAGTAGGTGTGGTGGGCTAAGTTCACTGGAGTGGCCTTGTTAAGAGCTTTGGCTTCCATTTTAATAGCTAATTTATTTGTCTCAACAAGCATGTATGTTACTGATACAACAAGATCACCAGGAAAGCCTGCATTAACAATTAGCAGCGATTTCATTGTTAGTGTTGCACAATCTACATTAGTCACATCCACAGTCATTCTTAATTCTTGTCCAAGTTTTACCTTGTTCACCATCCAAGCTGTTATAGGTGAATGTTATGTGACTATCTTCGATGTAACTTTTTACTGTCCATACAACATCACTGAATCCTTTAAGGCCACCTGACATATAATCACAAGAAAATTCTGTTATATATCGAATATTTAAATCAAATTCCGAGAAGAACATTGGTCCTGGAAATTTAGATTAGGTAACATGAAATGATCATGAACATACCATGAAGAGTGTTCTTTCCTTCATTTGCAACCAACTTGTAGTGAACACCATTTAAACTAAATTGAGCACTTCCAATTCTATTGGCAACACGTCCAACAATGGCTCCAAAGTAGACTGAATCATTCTGCAATACTTGCAACCACTCAATTAACATTCAATGGCAATCATTCTAATTTGATCAAAACACAAAGAAGATAAAACATATTTATGAACTGACCGAGTAGTCTTTAAGTGATTCGAACGCAAGAACAACGTCGTCTAGCTTCCCTGAAATAAGATGAGAGAAATCATACAAATGAGAACATAATATGCAGATTTTATAAAGCATGGAATGCAAAATTTAAACACCAAATAAAACTATTCAAAACTTGCGCAGTCACAATCCCACATACCGTTCTTATCAGGAAGAACAACAGAGAGCACAGTTGCACCATAATTAGTCAGCTTCACAGAGAAATCTCCCTTCTTCAATTCATATATTCCAACCTTTTGATTCGCCTCAGAACAATAAAAAACCAATGGCAGCAAGAGAAAACACCAAAACATGATAGATATCTTAGGCATTGTATTGTAGGAGAACAATAAACCCTCTACCACCATCAAAATGCTTGAATGTGATGAATTATATATAGAAGATAATCAAGATTGAGATAAGATCATTGCTGATAGCGGATAAGGGTATGATTATATGTTTGTTGGAGATGGGGAGATAAGAGTAAATTTCGAAACAAACTGGATTTCAATTTAGCAATATGTCGTTGTTATATTTGACTTAATTTGAGATTTAAAATTTATGAATTTGAATTAATATCAATCATTAAATTACCAAATATAATATGTGGTAATTTTATTTGGTTTGGAACTTCTACATTTATAGAGGGAAAAAAAAATCTGCAATTCTGACCTCATCTTTGGGCAGCTCAAACTTCTGTGTGCCTGACCGTAAGTATACTCTGTTTGCATTTGGTGAAATATGGATCTGAATTTGTTGTCATTTGAAACTCATATGATCCTCCATATCCGCCCCTTGGCTGCATGTAGATTAATCAAGGGGTTAACTTAATAAAGCTGCAACTAAACCAGTAAATTACGCCGAGCGGCTATACTCCGGTATTTCTTTTTAAACAAAGTGGTTATAAAATCGTATAGCTAATTGTTTTGACACGTGGACACCGTTTTCACCCCAAATATAAATCGTTTAGCCGTCCGGCTATACTCTCGCGTGTTTTCGTATAGCCGTGCGGCTATACTCGGGTTTTCAAAAAATAGTTTATGCTAGGCACGTGTGAAAAACTCATTCTTTCTTTCTTTATTTTTTCTCTTGCACAGCGGATCCTGCAGAAGTTACCAGGAAAGACCAGATCCAACCAAGAAAGGAAAGGGAAGGAAACAATAGTTTTGGTTGGCATACAGTTAGATTTTTTTTTTAGGACTGATCTGTTAGGATCCAGGGATGATATTACCTGAACTCATCTTTTTTTTTTTTTTTTTCCCTCTTGCACAGCGGATCCTGCAGAAGTTACCGGGAAAGACCAGATGGAAGCACAGCCAACCATGAAAGGAAGGGAAAGGAAATAATAGTTTTTGTTGGCGTACAGTTAATATTTTTTTGGACTGCTCTGTTAGAGCAACTCCACCCATTTGCCCTTAGCCATGGCAAGGGGGGGAGCTAGGGCAGCCACCATTCACGTGAATAGTGGTTGCCCTTGCAAATAGTATTTTGTGTTTTCACCCGTTGCCCTTGCTAAGGGCAGTTACTATTCATTTTTTTGTTTTATTCACAAATTTTTATACCTCAATAATTAATTTGGATAATATTTTCGGATAAGATTTCCGGGTTCCTATGTGTCAAGACTATTCATAATCGGATAAAATTTCTGGATAAGATTTTTGGGTTCAAATTTCGGATGAATTTCAAAATTCAAATTTCAGATAAATTT